AGGTTTTATAATACCTTCTACCCCGCTTGCGAGAATTGGTCTCCATCAATGAGGGTCCAATGAGAGGGAAGTGATGCTGGAAGTCATATTAGTGGAGCCCTATTCTTGCCCAGGACTAAACTCCTAAATATATGGCCTGTACTGAACATAGGAAGAAGTCTGGAATTGAATTTCAAGAATTGCAATCACGGATTATAAAAAATGGAGAATTTAAGCAATCGTGCTGATAAAATATTATGAAAAGAGAGAAAAATAGAAGAGGGAATAAAATTTAATAAATTTGTGTGTATTTTATTAAAAACAAAAGTTCTATATTTATAAGAAAGAATCAATGATACAACGATAATAATTTTTAGGACAATAAGGGTACATCCATCATTCACTAATAAACCTACCATTTATAACAATGTCCAATTAATTTGATAATTTGTAACTGAAAGACAAGTTGTGACCTATAAAATTTGTAATTTGTGATCGAGAAGTAATTTGTGACCAATTAATTTTATAATATGTGACCGATAAATAAGTTGTGACCTTTAGGCCATCTCCAACTCTACACCAAATTTTGGACCATTTTGTACCAAATTTTACATCAAATCTCGTACCAAACTAAAATTTATCTTCAACCATTACATCAAGCACCAAATGAACAGTGTTTAACCATTTTCTTCCCTTTTTTTATTCTTTATAATTTATTTATTTGAAATATTATTTTATAAATACATAAATTACTAAATAAATAATTACTTTAAATTACGGAAAAAATTAAATTCATTAATAAATATAAAAAACTTGGAACAATTAATAAAAATACTACAACAACAAAAATATGAAATCAAATTAGATTATCGTATGTATGTCGTTGTTTAATATATTTCATGTTAACTTTAATGAATAATCATGTTTGTTGTATTTTGAATTGTTTTCGTCTTTTAATTAATTTATTAATTATTATGTCTTACATTTAAAATTTATTTAAATGCAAATAATAATAATAATATTAAGGAAAAAATAATTTATTTTATTGAAAAATATACAGCACAAATGACATAAATACCCTTAACAAATTTATTTGAAAAATGTTAAATAAAGGTAAAAGAGACATTTTACACTTTGCACCATTTTGGTGCAAAGTGAATAGTGTTGCACCATTGCATCATTTTGCACCAAAATGGTGTAAAGTTTGGTGTTACATTGGAGCAACTTTGCATCAAAAAATGGTGCAATGGTGCAACCAATGGAGATGTCCTTAAGTACGTAATTGTGATAATAAATTGTATAATTATGACCTTAATACATTTAATTAAAATCTGATTTTGAAATAATAAATTTAATTTCTTAATTTTGAAATTGTATTTTGCAACCCCCTTATATATAGAGTTAGCAACGGGATGGGACGGGCTCCCCCGCTCCGCTGGACATTTTCCCGCCCCGTTAGCCGTTTAAGGCGGGGGAGGGGTGATTGCACCATTTAATTTTATTGTTACTTTTTTAGAGTTTTTGATACTTCATTTTATTGTCCCATTTATTCAAGTGGGACAATATATGGTTATTAAATTTTTTGATTAATTAATTAATTTTTAAACTTTAATTTATTCGAATATATTTGATAACCTAAAGTTTTTATTGTTTAATATATTCCTTAGATAATCTTACTTGATATCTTCTATTGAATTTAATTAAATTTCATGTGATTTTTTCATTTAAAGTATTGAATTCTTTAAAAAATTTAAAAATGAAAAAATAATTCAACTGAGGAGGGAGAGGGGAGAAGAGGGGTGGGGCCCCTATTACCTGTACCCGAAATTCCCAACCTGTACCCAACTAAGCGGATACGTGACGAGACCTGTGGGTATCAGATTTGACAGATATTTTTGCCATTTCTATTTATGTAATGTTCCCTAATGATAAATAGTGTAAATATAGGTCAAGCTGTCTGAATCTCATTCAAAAAAAAAAAGGAAAAAAAAAAAAACTAGTTTAATTCTAATACGAAATTGTCTAATTATTATGTTTCTATATTTTTAATTACATTTTAGTTATGCGAAGTTATATACAATCAATTATGCTTCCCTAGTTGTGGGAGAATGTCGATATAATCGTGTATTTGTATTCTAATGAAGAAATGAAGACCACGTCAGAATTATTTTACAAACTTAGGCCCCGTTTGATTGCACGAAATTTTCCATGGAACTTACAATTCGAATTCCAACTTCTACTTTTGGTATGTTTGATCGAAATTTTTTTTCAAGAAATTGATTTTCCATGAAATTCTAAGTACAACACTTTAAAGCTTGATTTTCCAGCTTTTACTTTCCTAGGGGTAGATGATTTTTGGTTTTGCACATTTTTTTTTTTGGTTGGCAATGGAAACAAATTCTAAAAGAGAATATTTCTGAAATTGACAAATTTCATGTACAACAAAGTCAAACGAACACCAAAATATAGATAATTTTTTGATCGCTTTTTTTTTCCTTTTTTTTTAGTTGGCAATGGAAACAAATTCTAAGAACAATGGTAGAAGAGGATACCCCTTAAATTAACAATTTCCATGTAAAACAAAGCCAAACAAACACCAAAAAAATACTTTTACTTCAACATTTTTTACGTAAAAAATTATACCAATCAAACACAATAATTTACAATTCCCAAGAAAACAATTTTTAGGTAATTCAATTCTCTGAAATTTATTTTCTTTCCACCCAAATTCCATCTTCGCAATCAAACAAACCCTTATAGTTTATTTTGGAGGTTTATCGGTTCCTTGAAAACTAATACGTTGAAAGGTCGTAATTTCCTTCCCTCATTTTTATTTTTCTATCGACAATACGAACAATATCACAATGCCTCACACATTCCAAAAATTTGCTATCCCGAGGCTTCAGCTTTCATTACTCGAGTAAAGCCTCAAAACAGAATCGATATTAAAAAAAGAGAAAAAAGCAGCAGCTAAAATCTGGTTCACTATATTATTAGGATTATCGAGCATAATTTAATATTACTGCATACAAAACATGTACTTAAAAGCTACTGAGGGAAAAATAGCCACGAAATTTGATCTAATCAAAGGAAGATTGCTGCATTTGCTTGTCTGATTAATTGACTCCTCTTGAGTCGAGCCATTAGGGACCATAACATCAACATTATTCATGATAAAGTGCACGATTCAAATACCTTGATTTTCAGCTAGGAGATTTGAGCAGGCAGCAACTGGTGACCTTGGTTACAAATGTGAGCTCGGAATCAGACGGACAAGGCAGCAGGTCTCAATTACTCCAGCCCCAGAACTGAACTCCAGAGGGATACTTTCACGCCATAGGGAAGTTGCATCGTAGAAGACAACAATAATAACCCGGCCAATGGACCCTGATGTCAAAGACACAACCTCTAGAAGCAAGAAACTCTATCCAGATTTCCATCAAGACAAGTTACATACAAATAAATTTTATAAATTAAAAAAAAAAACTGTAGAAAAAATCCGGACAATATTTTTAAGTTTTGCTAACACAGGCAACATCTTCTTCATTCACTTTGTCGCAAAATGAGCTCAATTTAGTGATGGCGAGAGCTTCTCCAAAGAGAGTTGCTCTTGTTGATTTGGATATGTGAACTTCCACATAATCGCCAACCTTTGGATTCCGCTTCCCATCATTGTTGACTCTATCTGGGACCGGCAGATTAGGGAATGATACACGATGGCCTCTGTCACTCTTGCCAATAAGCTCAGTGTCGGGTGCTCTCTTGTTGGGCCCCTCGACTAAAATAAGTTGTACTGTGCCAATTTTGGAGTCATAGAACTGACCTGTAGTCTCCCGGAAAGCTTCAATAAGTTCCGCTAACCTCCTCTGTTTTATACCATCAGAAACATCATCAACATAGTTTCTCTGGGCATGGGTTTTCTCCCTCATGCTGTAAGCAAACATGTATGCCATATCATAGCCGACACCCTTAATGAGACTCAGTGTATCCTTGTGATCCTCCTCTGTTTCTCCACAGAAACCTGTAGATCATTAGAAGTAGAATGAGTAGCCTGAAGCAAAACCCAGTTTATGAAAACCCAAGGCATATTGTAATATCTGATGGCTATATGACTTCGATTGACGAATGCTTATAGGTATTATGGGGAGAGATTTTGGGAACGCTTTTTCTGTTTTTGACAAGAAAAATGCTTCGGCTCACCTATTATACATAAACAACTAATTCTTCACTCATTACAAGAATACGGTGAACTTCTATATTCCTCCTTATTGTAGTACTTTAATTTTATATGCAGCAATATTTCTGTGCTTGTGTCAAACTCATAAGTCCCAGTAATGCAAGAATAAACTAAAAAGAACAATTACGAATAGGTTCATTCAAGATACATGTAACTGAATAGTATGCAGTATTAGGAATAAAAGAAATACATAAATATCACATGAACAACATGTCAATATATTTGGCTTAACTAGTGACAGATGTTCATATTAATAAAGCCATAATCGAAAGTTGAATGAGTGAGAAATATGCAACTATATCAAGTGTAAAAGAGACGGACCACAGATGTTGCTTGCAATTTGGGTGAGATATATTTGAGCAAGCAATCAATATGGACTCAACTGGAAGGACATTAAAACTGCCACAGCAGTGCACAAAGTGGAAACAATGTTTATTACAGGTAAGGCTGGAAATAAGATTTCTGCAATGACATAAAGATGCAGCCCATAAGCGGACACAAGTGGTCTGTAGAGATTATTTTAGGTAAGTTTGATATTTTATTACTTCAATTGTATTTTTAGATTGTCCTTTTATGTTTGAATTTTCATATTTCCTTTTGACATTAGGATTTGAGATTTCCTTCTAGCTCTAGGATTTAAGTTTCAAGTCGTCTATCCATCAACACCAACCTTTGTTCAGTCCATGTCATGCAATCACGCCTACAATTCATAGCATCTTCCACAAATGAACCTTGCAATCATAATGACTAGTGATTATTGAAGTGTATGCTCCTAGAATAAGCAGAAACATGAAGCAGGACCCATCTCAAACAATTCAGAGTGATGGACTCATCACCGATGACGACAATGAACTAAGTCTTACTTGAAATAAATTTGGGGTCAGCTACAGTCTGCGTGATTTTTTATTTTTATTTTTTTCATTTTTATCAATCAATACATCTACCAAATAATGGTCTAAGCAGATTAAAATTAAAATCCCTGATACATTTTTCTAATATATTAGCCTAACAAAGTCAGTTATATTTATTCAGGCAATAACTCAGTAAGCATTCTATGGACCATGAAAAAGTAAAACCATTATAAAATGAAGAGCCTTACCACATATGAAATCGCTGCTTATACCCATATCAGGAATTATAGCACGTATCTTCTTAACAAGATCTAAATATGCTTCTCGGGTGTATCCTCTCCTCATCCTTTCGAGTACCGTACTGTTGCCTGATTGTGCAGGCAAATGGATGCTTTTGCAGATATTATATCTGTCTCTCATGACATATAGTAATGCATCTGGAAAATCTTTAGGGTGAGGGGAGGTGTATCTGAATCGCATTTCTGGAAATTCTGAGGCAAGTCTGTCAAGTAGATCTGCAAAGCGCAAACCCATTTTTTTCACTTTGCTTAAGCTGGAAAATCCTTCACTATATTT